CTGGAGAAGATGGATCCCATAAACACAGCAATAACCATGAAGGGGTTGGCGAAAACCAGGAACACCAGACCAACGAGGTTCAAGAGGCTCTTGGCAAAAAGGGGGACACGGAGGTGACCCCAAAACACACAGATCCTTGTTTGAAATCGGGGCAGAATAATCCCCAGAACTGTGCAATGACTAAAGGGTGGTCTAACCCCGGAGGTCGACTAAAGAAGCTGAGAATCACCCAACTGGAAGACACTGGTAGCTGCAGCAATAAAAATAAAGGTTAAAAGCTCCTTAGACAGAGGTTCTAGTCTAAGTACATTTGAAAGGTATAAGGGGGCATTAAAAAGGGGGTGGAAAACTGGAGCACCAAAATAAAGCTGTGGGAGAATTGGGGAGTGATGGGAGAGTCATCTGTAACTGCTGTTATGGTCATAAGTCTAACTTTGCTTGCATCTGAACTGCGTGAACACAGAGGTCATCCCACATATGGTCCACCCGTTAAAGGGGGACAGAGGGCCTCAGGACCAAGAAGAACTGGACCTTGCAATGCTGGAGTGTATGTTGTAAGTGATCTCTTTGAAGAAAAGAGATCAAAGGGGGAATTGTGATATTATTCTGTTATCATATGTTACCTTATATATGTAATCAAAGTAGTTGAATTAGAATACTGCTGTAGATCATATTATACCCTTTAATATAGAGTGTGTGAGCTGTATGTAGTTTAGTTCTCATTATACTTTTGAGTTAACAGAACATATTCACATATTAGTTCATTAGATAAATGTGCATCACTCTGTATCCTTGATCTGCTGGGAATGTGTTACACTGTTTTCTTGACATGTTCTATTGTTGAATCATGAAGAGAAGGTTGTAAGCAGGAGACTCTGTGTCTAAGACAGGGGAGATAGACAGACCACATTCCATACCCCCACCTTACAGAAAGCAGAGAAACAACTGCCGAGGTCATAACAGAGAAAGAATGTGATGTTTTGGCTTTTACGACTAGATGGGGGCCACTAGAGACTATACAAAGCTGAGCAACCCGTCACCATTTTGAGACTTGCTGTGACCCTCTTCAGGCATGTCTCCCCATCATGATGGTCCTTATGCTCTTAAGTGTGTGTGAATGGGTGGATGACTGGATATGTAAAGCGCTTTGGGGTCCTTAGGGACTAGTAAAGCGCTATATAAATACAGGCCATTTACCATTAAGTGTTGAATTGTATGGAAATAAATGATTGTTGATTGAGCATAAATACAACGAGTATTGTCCTTCCTTCAGCCCAAAGATTCAAAGAATTGGGAGATTTCAACAATAACATCTGAGTGTGTGTGTGTGTGTTAACCACCCAAATGTGACTTAGGAGGACCACACTGTTATTGGGAGACTCCGTCAAAGTTTGCTTCATGGTAACATCACTCTGGTTTTAGGAGGGGTCTTCTTGTATTTTTTGACAGTTTGACCTACAGCATGCAGAACTGACTGCATGTGCTTTGTTTCTATGTTGAAATGGTTTGAAACTCAGGCTTGAACATTAAGATAGATAGTACTATACAACTTCTTAACTTGTTTTAGGCACTTTTTACTGCTGTAGTGCATGGGTTCTCTCTGGCTGTGTACTCTGGCTTCTTCCCACAGTCCAAAGATGTAGCTTATGGGGTTAGGTTAACTGGTGATTCAAAACTGCCCTTTGGTGTGAATGCAAATGCTTGTCCTTCCATGTTAGACTGGTGATCTGTCCAGGTTGTACTGCCCTATGGTAGCTGGTATAGGCCCCAAACCTGCTACCCCACAATCCTGATAAGGATAAGTGGAAGAGGATGGATGATTGCAAAGGAATCAGTTGTTAATTATTGTAGGCAGTATTTTTTTCAGAAGAAAACATTTCTTGAGTGAAAAGCCCCCCCCCCCCCCACACACACACACACACATATACACACACACACACACACACACACACATGCAAAATAAAAACAGAAGCTCAGGCCTTCCCAGTACAGTTGCAAGAAGAGCACTTGGTCTAATCTTTGTGCCATCTTTTCTTTGTTGCAGGATCTTGATGAAGAAATGCCTCAGCAAGGCTCAGAAGCCATGCATTCTTCTTCAGTGCAAGATTTTGAAGAGGTAACATTGACCTAGGACAGATTTTAATGAATGTTTCTCATGCACGATGTGTACCTTACGCTATTTGTTATTATCGCTATTTAATGTTTCAAAAGCGTCTTCAAAAATGCACTGTATTTTCATTTTCTATCTGTTACACATGAAGACTGAGACCAGCCAGATTCAGAAGACTGTGAGCTGCCTAAAGCCGCAACCAAACAGCTTTCCAAACAATGATCTGGACCTGAAACATCCAGAGCCTGAAAGGGTAAATATAATCCAGTGTACCACTTAATGAACTAATAATTTAATCTATCATCATTCTTTATGGATGCTGTGTGTGTGTGTTTGGCAGTCACCTGGGTGAGATGTGATTTACATGGACCGTGGCTTGTAGGTCCTTTTCATTGTTTCAAAGTGCAAGTCTGGATAACATCTGAGTGTGTGTGTGTGTGTGTGTGTGTGTGTTAACCACCCAAATGTGACTTAGGAGGACCACACTGTTATTGGGAGACTCCGTCAAAGTTTGCTTCATGGTGACATCACTCTGGTTTTAGGAGGGGTCTTCTTGTATTTTTTGACAGTTTGACCTACAGCATGCAGAACTGACTGCATGTGCTTTGTTTCTATGTTGAAATGGTTTGAAACTCAGGCTTGAACATTAAGATAGATAGTACTATACAACTTCTTAACTTGTTTTAGGCACTTTTTACTGCTGTAGTGCATGGGTTCTCTCTGGCTGTGTACTCTGGCTTCTTCCCACAGTCCAAAGATGTAGCTTATGGGGTTAGGTTAACTGGTGATTAGGGCTGGGCCATATTATACCGTTCACGGTAATACCGGTATAATGTTAGGCAACGATAGGAAAATGAAATATCGCGATAGAATGGGAGTAAAACGCGCATGCGCAGTGCCTTTGTTTTCATACGCACATGGCCGATTGTTGAGTGAAACAGATAAACCAGAATTGGTTTGTAAAAATGGTGCAACTTCCGTGATGTGGAACTGGTTTGGTGTTTGTCCGTCAGATACACGACAAAGCACATTTTTTTTGCAGAACATGCAAGCGGCCGTTGTTATTGTCATATTTGTCGGACTAAGATGCTCTTAAATCTGGGAGTAATCTGGGTCCTAAACTCTGTATTCTTCAGGTCAAACAACACTGCAGCATCACTGAGAGTTAAAAACTGTCTAAATTCTTTCATCTTTAATAAAACGATCAGCATTGCTGCTTTACCAGGTGTAACTATAAAGTTTAACTTCCAGGCATCCATGAAAACCAAAGTTATTACATTTAACGAGTTAGAAGTTAGCAGAAAGCTAGCGGAAGTTAGCTCGCTAGTTTTGCTAGTTACCTAAGCGTGATATAGCATGTTCTGACTGAGAGATTTCTGAAAAAATTCAAACGTACAGCTCTGCTATCACTTCCAACATAAATGAAGACAGGAAACTAAACAGCAGTGACGTTTGTAGAGTTACTGAAGTTGGGCTAGCTGGTATATAATGATGTGCTACGTGATCGCTAGCGACACAGCTATGTTAGCATAACATAAACAG